AGAGAGAGAGAGAGAGAGAGAGTTATCGATTCCCTGCATGTTCTGATTATTCCGTTCGAATTATCCCTTCGTTCGTGCCTATAATCAGAAGTGATGATGCTTATTTATGAATGGCTTCTTAGGAGGAGAACAACCATCATTATGTGTTGTTGGAGTTACACCTTTAATAATTGTTATGATAGGAGCTAATTGTAAATCATGTACGGCTGAAGGCTTTCCATAACCTGGATTCAAGGAAAAGTCACCTCAATGTTTTTCTCTTCAGAGCACATTACATGACGCAATGGTTGCAGCTCATTCTTAGGTGGCTTCCGGTAGGTGCTGGTATGTTTTGGGAAGTCAGTAGAAGTCGGTAGGCCTTGTTTTCAGTCAGTCCAGTCAGCAGAGAAGTCCCAGGAAAGTCAGGGAACTTCCAGAAGCAACAAACATACTAAGGGTCCGGCCCATAACTGAAAGAGGAAGTCCGGAAAAGAAGCTCGTACAGGGGCATGCTAAAGGAAAAGCAGAATATCGTTCATGTATTTCTGTACTTATGATACCTGTTTTGCACTGCGGAAATACTACTGGTAGTCCTGAGTCTCGTCCCTACTGCTCTGTGATTTACCACTTGAAATGTGTAGAACCCTCTGGCATGATTACATTCATGTTGATGCAGTGTGTAGAACCCTCTTGCATGATTACATTCATGTTGATGCAGTGAAACTTGTAAAAATATTACTTTGTTGTCTTTTTGTAAACAGAGTGCGCTCTTTCTTCATGTTGATGCAGTGAAACTTGTAAAAATTTTACTTTGTTGTCTTTTTGTAAACAGAATGCGCTCTTTCTGGATAAGTACATTCATCTCGGGAGCAACAGCAGTTATTCCGCAGCAGCAGAGGATGGGGTGGTCACCATGGATCCTCCTTTTGCTGATGATGATGAGGCAGGCGTGGAAGTTTGTTCAGAGGACCTGAAATCCGGGGGTGTGCAGAATCAAGAAGAAAGCAGTGACTTTGCAATTGATGTTCAGGTGTGAATGGATATATATTGCTGCCCCTCAGCTGCTCAGTGAGTGATATCTTTTTTTTTTTTTTTTTTTTGGACCATATCTTGATTAATGTGTGTTGCTCAGGGGCCATGCCAAACTTCTCTGTATCATTCCAATTTTAATGGATGTCCTGAAGGACTCAGTGAGTGATATCCTCAATTTTTTGGATGCAAACTTTGGTGTTCAGATTCTGAATTGTGCAGATGATTTTAAGTTTTGATTCCATCAGCCGAAAAGTTGTGTGTTGTGATTGCTTTTCTTTTTCAGAATACGGACGTCTTATTGATTGAACTCGCCAAGACCACCCAAAGTCCTTGTGAATTGCCTGTATAACAGGGTTGTGTTATGAACTTGGTTGTCTGACGATTTTCAGCGCCACTCACACACAGACACTCTCACACATGCCCATACATGCATAAGACGAAGGGGAGAGGAGTCCAGACTGTACACAGATAAAAATAGGCAGCGGAATACAGCTATGCACAGGTGGGGAGAAGATACACAGTGTTCCTCACTCTCTGACAGTACTCCCAACGACCAATCACAAGAAGAAACCTGCGAGGATAACAATCGGATTCACACTGATGATGAGCCAATTAAAACCAAATATCGTTACAGAGTTTGTTCCAGTATCTCGCCACTTTCAGAACCCCACACTCCACTCTGTACCCTACACCCAGTCAGTAGCGCAACACCGAAGTGGCCTCCCAGGGGCCAGCGCCAACCACCCAGATGAAGAACAGATCCTGCGATGAAGTCTTCAGTGCCGATGGACAACTCTGACGAAGAAACAGGCAGCTATGGCTGCCGCCACCCACGAATACTCAGTGAAGAGCCTCGATATAGCCCTGCCAGGCGCAGATACTCTCGAGGGTAGATGCGCTGAGGATGCCCCAGCTCTGGCAACCTTCTGAAGGCCGGCTATGGCTGCCGTCCACGGCAAGGGTCCCAGGATGCCGCCTGTAGACAATCACCACCACCCACTTGCTTGGCTTCTCCAAACGCTGCTTCGCAAGAATGAACAGCCAAAAGTCCTGAATCGATTTTCCTAAACTATTAATAGATCTACACTACCCTAACCTAGACCTAGACCCGACTGACTGGATCAACCGGTACCGTTCCAGTTTCGGACTCTCGGCCTCTCCCTACCCGGCTGTAGGCTATAGGACCGTCTATCGGTATAGGCCCTTCGGGCCTGTCCGTCCTAGGGGTGGCCCGGGTCTGCTATACGCAGTGAGGGTAGCTGTATGAAATTCGAAATAGTGCTGGGCCTATATTTCCCATATTTGCAGATATGTCCGTCACGAATTTTCCTTACAGGTAGGCCTCTCGGTTAGCCCTCAGCCAAACAAAATTACGACTCTAACCTACTGCTGTTACTGTACAGCCTCGCAGTCAGTCTCGGCAGTCAAAATCAGCAAGTCATTGCAGTTGCATCCCTGCCGACCGCCGACCCCGACCGCCAATCATATTGCAGCCGATCAGTAGGGCCGACCGGTCGGCGGCCTGCCGACCAGTCAGAAAACAACCATCCACTCTATTTTTTTTGTCAAATCTGAGTTGGGGGCTGTACTGTGCTTGCTGAGTACAGCCCAAATCCGCTGAGAAACTTTTGGGGATGGGGGGGGGTATGGGGGGGTATGGGGGCGCTGGGGTTTGTCACATGCCCAGATGGGCGATGTACATAATAACCGAGGATCCGCAATGTGATAAAAAGGACTGAATGGAAACAATGCAGTGCAAGTAGAATCTTGACAAGCAATGTGCATTCAGATACATACAAAATGGTGCTTAATAGCGCAGGGAAGACTTAGATACAAATCCTGACCTGACCGGGACTGACCTCTTTCACGTAGTACAAGATAGCGAAGCAGAATACTAGAGTACTAATGACTAGCCCAATCAATGTTTCAACGCAGACCAAACATACATCATGCCCATCACAAGTGTGAAGGGGCCTGGCGCTGTACACAGGAAGAGGCGCCAGGTCCAGACATACACAGACGAAGAGGAAGGGATCAGACGAAGGAGAGGAAGGGGGAGATGGGAAAGTCGTCAACACCAGGTCTCGTTACAAGTCCCAAATAATCCCTCGTCAAAATGTCTGAAGCCCAAAAGTCGAGTCTKRATCCAATGTCACCAAGCTCTCTCTCTCTTTCTCTCGTASTCTGCTGATGCMGTGAAGTCAGATAGCGAGAGGGTGAGAAGGAGATGGTGGACTGAGAAGAGGAAGAAGAAGAACTCTCTCTCTCACGAGCCAGGTACTAACCTGTGAAGTTGGCGCGGTGCTGCAGGTACCTCGAAGACGAAGCTGGAGCAACGACGCTGCAGGTAAGTATCCCTGGCCTCCGCCCAATCTCTCTCTCTCTAGTATTACTCTAGCTACGGCGCCCAGCGCTGAAGACTACAGCTAACGCTACTGGCGCCCAGCGCTGAAGACTAATGCTAACGCTACTACGACTACTACTGCAGCGCTCCTCCAGAGTGCTGCTGCCGAATCCTGAAGAGTACTGACTGCCTCCTGCCTTGCACGTGAAGTGCATGGGAAGTACCTAGGAGCTACCTCCCAACTACCTGCAGCCTGCAGGGCGGGCCAGTCTTATATAGTGCTGGCCCGTCCAGGAGGCTGCTCTTGCCAATGCCAAAACGTGCTGGACCCTGGTCTGGTGCCTGAGTTTCAGGGCAGGTCGAACTGATGAGGGCCTGAAAATGGCCCTCAGTTTCAGGCTGAAAATACTCAGGGCCGGAAAGGCCCTGATTTAGCCTGAAACGACACAGGGCGTGTAGGCCCTCGTTTTCAGGCTATCAGGCTGAAACGACACGGGCCCTGTAGGCCCAGGCTTTTGGCCTGAAAACAACACGGGGTCTGTAGGCCCTCGTTTTCAGGCTTTCAGGCTGAAAACGACACGGGGCTGAAAATGGCCCGCGCAGCCTGTTGCAGGCGCAGCATGTAACAG